TTTATGATTTTGGTTCTTATATATGATGATTTTAGTCCCCAAAAAATTGAATAATAATTAATAATGATTTTATTATATATTTATTATTTACTAGCAAATAAATAATGGCGTATGAAGTGAATGGGCCACACAATTTCTTTGTTATTTAGCTCTGACTTTAGAATAATAAGAGTGTAATAAACAATAAAAACCAAAAATAGACAAAACTTATTAAATTTATTTTTTACCGCATTATTTCGTCAAGCGCCGTTGGTGTAGTGGTATCATGTAAGATTCCCATTCTTACGTCCCGGGTTCGATTCCCGGACGGCGCAATATTTTTCAACTTTTTGAATATAAATTTATTGATTTTATTACATAACTATTATAGTTAAAAATGCATGGATGAATAAAAGAAACTTTTTTCTCGATCGTTATTCTTTTAAGAAAAGAAGAGTGAATTATAATTATGGCAGCTCAATTGAGTTGTCTTCCATTGTGGCTGTGGAATTGCCAACATCAATTGAATGAGAATATTATTATGCTTAGAAAACAAGTTGTCTCTTGTAATGGGCATTTATCATTTATGAATCCTTTAAAGTGACTCCAGCAATGCCACATAGTAATAGAGCTTGGACTATGTTTTGATAATTGGCAGATCGGTAAGCGATAGATTTTTTTTCCCTACCGATAATCACCATTTATCTATCTATCGAATGTCGCAACCAATTACATGATTTCTTTCAATCAGTAGCCTCTACAGTTTTTCTCCATATGGATGTTTTCCATATTCTACCGATTAACAATACCGCCTTCAATGGGTACAATGTTTTTTACAAATCACTTAAACTACCAATATAAAAACATACACGTTCACGTTTTTGGATTTGAGAGTCCCCCTAGGATTGTACCTTAGTGAATAGGAACCATCTTGATAAAGTTTGAACATAATCGAATAACGTTAAATGTTATTTTCTAAGCTTAAGTTATATTTTTTTTACCATTCGATCATCTTTTATGCCCTCAATATAAATGCATTTTAAAACAATTGGGCACAAAATGTATATAGTTTCTCAAGGATTCCGAATTAGTTTTTGGTCGGTTATATACATACAAAAATTAGAAATACAGAAATTAAAGTTGTAATATAATCAATTTGGGATATTTAAAAAAATGACTATTTATCTAAATAATAATTCACCAATCTCTGTCCGTCCGTCTGTATGTCCGCACGCTATCTCCTCCCACATTTATGGTCAGATTTGAACTTTGAAGGTACCTATGAAATATTTGGGTCAAGGCAGAACCTAATAAAACTATTTGCAAAGTGATGGGACCATAAATGAAAAAAAAACCGTCATTGGATATACCTCTCTTATATTCTTTAAGGTCTGTTTCACTCACAAACTAGCTCCCAAAACCTACCCATACCCGAAGGGCGAACATATGGGCGCCGTAGGCGCCCAAATAAGCGATTAAACTTTTATTCCTCGTTTTTTTTGTATATATATAAAACATAATTTGGATTTCTTCTGATCTTATCTACCACTTACGTTTACTCATTTCATGTCGCATTGAAATTTAGAAAATGAGAAGCGATTCAATGGTGAAAAAAATACAACACAAGTTGACGTTATTCCATTTTGTTCAAACTTTCACAAGATGATCTCTATGCATAAGGTATAATCCTAGGGAGTTTCCTTCTCTCAAATCCGAAAAATATGAATGTGTATATTTTATATTCAATGAATGTCAGCGGAAATGAAATCAACAAAAGAAATATTTTTTTTTGCATACACATTTGTACATTACATCATGGTGTTATATAATACGACCAGATGGATATCAGCTTTTTATTGCAGAGCATACATATACATAGTATTACATGTGGACATTAAAGTTATCAAATATTTTAGTCTTCTTGCTATGGCCAATAAAATCCAACATCGGCAGTGAAATAGGTTTTCTTATTGTTGGAGAAACACTTCCATCTATATAAATGCGTTGTGTACACAATTGAATATACTAAAAAGTTGAAAAATAGCTTCCAATTATTATAAAAACTCAGGCTTGGGAACGGAACGCAACTTTTTTTTTGAACGCTGAACGTTGAACGCAAAAAAAAAAAGAGTTTTACGTTCAGCGTTCAATTTTTCCAAACATTTCTTGGACTTTTTTCGGAAAAACGTCATCACTACGCAGTACTTTTTTTGTAAATTATTTATTAAAAAAAACGTCATCACTACGCAGTACTTTTTTCGGAAATTCTTTTTTAAATATTTGAACGCTGAACACTAACGGAACGCTGAACGCAAAAACATGAACGGAACGCTAATTTTTTTTGTACGCTGAACGCTCACAAGCCTGTAAAAATACATTAACGGTGCATGGATATATTTTATTGGCCACGACAGTTAAATATTCAGCTTTGGAATTGAAGATTCCAAAGGAACATTGGCAAATACTCAAGGCTTTGTATCAAGAGAGCAGTGCCTTGGTCCATATTAACACCAATACTAAACTTTGTCCGAGAGTATGCTTAGTATGATAAGATGATAGTGCTAAAACAATTATTTCGTCGTTTTTAAAGCTAATAAAGACACAAGGAGTGGTATAAAAGTTTTTTTGATGCGATAGCTGTGTAAATACAAGGTATGCAAGTTATCAATTAATAGATTAATCTTTAGTTGTTTCATTCTGTCGACTTTTAATCTATCAATCGAATACAGTACCAGGATTAAGGGACCGGTTTATGTTGTGGATTTGGGAAGGGTAAGTGCATTTTTATTGTTATGGAAAATTTATTCTATCACAAAAATAATGTTATTGGCCTATATTTCTTGTAGAAGTTATTTTCTAATTGCCTACTTCAAATCTTAATCTGACCCAAATGACGTCTTTGTTTATTTTTCCACGTCCGAACGTGAGGAATTTATGTTTCGTTTAAAAATCCGGTAAAGAGATTGATGATTAAACAGACAGAGTCGATCAATTACAGCTAATAAACTTTAACCGATTAAAATATTGTCGATTATTCATCGTTAGTCGATTTACTTTTTACATCCCCACTATATATATATATATATATATTATACCTTAAAGGTCATAATAGGAAATGTGTGAGTAATTATAATAAAATGTCTTAGTATTTTTTGCTATGCCATCTGATTGCTTTCAATTTGGCTAAGATATAAACAATACTAGCAGATGTTAAAGAATATAAAGAGGCAATCCCATCAACTTTATTGCTCTTTGTGTCACCATCAGTCAATGATAAAATATTCATCACTCGCTATATCCTTGTTTTCGGCCTTCACAGCTACATATTTTTTCCTATTATTAATTTATTTGCTTTTTAAAAAGTAAGCACTCAAAAAACAAACAACAACATGAGAAATATACTACTTTAACAACAAAAAAAAACAGGATAAAGCATTAGAACAAATCACTTTTCACTTAATAAGCATATATTTTAAGTCTTTTTTAAAATCATGTTCTCGTTGGCAAGGTCCAATGTTTTTATTATTATTATTTTGCATTCTTCGGAGCATTATTATTATTATTGTTACAATTGTTTGTGTGTATTGAGATGATCTTACATATTGTATGGGAGGATTATTAGGATTTTTCACTTGAGTAGGCGAGGAGGGGTCATAAGTCAATCATCCATTGTTGCTTTTTAGACTGTCAATGAATGACATGTCTATAGAAGGGTGGTGAAAAGGGACAATTAACACGAGGAATTTTATTGATTGTCATCAAGGAGAATATAAAGTGCCAAAGCAAGTAAACATCGAATTTTTTTTATGCTCTCAACGTTGGGTTAAAGACACAAAGAACTGAATAGAGAGTGAAACTTCATTTATATAATGTATTTTTTATATCAGTGATTTCACATCCCTCTTTCTATTTCATGATAAAATCAAGGACCGACATTGACTTCGCTCCTTCACATCATAGAGATATAAAGATAGAGCTTATTCCCTTCAATAGCAGAGAAACATCGTCGTTCAGCTGTCGCCATTGCCCAATATAAACAAAGTAATTTGATCAACGTCATCGTCAGCTGATCATAGAGGACAAAATATTTGTTTACATTGGGAAATATGACGTAGGCCTCTGAAGAATTCAATAAGCTCTCTATGCCATTATATCTCTATTACCTCAACATACAAAGCCTATACAGTTACTAAGGATTTCTTACTAATACTCTATTGATATATCCATAGAGATATAAAAATAACGAGAGCTTATTCCTTCAATAGCAGAGAAACATATTCGTTCAGCTGTATTCTGTGTGTCCAATATAAACAAAGTAATTTGATCTACGTCATTGTAAGTTGATCATAGAAAGATTGTGTATATTGGGCAATATGACGCATGCCTTGAAGAATCCATTAAGATCTTTATGTCTATATATCTCTATGGTTCGCATATATAAAGTCGTACATCTGTTGATTATATATTAATTACTGCTTTTTTATTATAGCTTATACGAAAAAATATTTGTGAGAATAGTTTTTTGTTTGTTTGTAAACAACAAAAACCAATATATATATGAGTATATAATAAATTATGATACTACATGCAAATAATCATGATCATGACCTTTCTTTTTATCAAAGTAAAAAAAGGTATTGGGTCAAATAATCACAATTTGGACTAGGATATGAATGAATCTCCGATTAGCTGCTTTGACTGTAACTTTTAAAAACAAACATAACTTTTTGAAGAAAGTAATTGCTTCCCTTATAATTAATAATCTGATTGTAGCTTAAAACATAGTTTCTATTGCAATTATTATTTCTGTATCACAACCTTTAATTAAATTTTGACGCTTATTTTTATATTACTACAATGTTTATTCACGCTGCGTGTTAATAGAGATACTTTGGAATATTTAATAACCTTAAAGAAATTAAATGACTCTGGTAAAAGAGTCTCGTAAAGTTATATTTCCTAGAAGAAATAATAAAGACAAAAAGTATGATTATTTTTTCTTTCAACACTCTGTGCATCAAGCGCCGTTGGTGTAGTGGTATCATGTAAGATTCCCATTCTTACGTCTTGAGTTCGATTCCCAGACGGCTATGTACGTTTTATTGTTGAAATTTTTTAATTAAATTATAATATGTAGGACTTTGTGTTTTAATACCTGAACATGTAATACGTTTTTGCATCTTTCTATCGATGAAGATTATAATATTGTTACACTTTTTTAAACAAAATTATATATATATATATGTATAAATAATAAATATATATATTATGTATAATATAGATATATGTATAAATATATATATATAACTTGTATACAAATGATGAACTGACTCTTGTCACTTAGTGATAAACATAATTTAAGGAGCTTGAAATCCATTGAACTTAAAACTCTATAGGAATATAATACTTACTTTGTAAATAAACAAGATATAAAAACCATATGCGCCGTCCGGGAATTGAACCCGGGACGTAAGAATGGGGAATCTTACATGATACCACTACATCAACGGCGCTTGATGGAGGGAGAAAAGAAAAATAATGTTTTTTTTTGTTTATTATTTCTTCTAGGAAATATAACTTTACGACACTCTTTTATTATTTTTATAGTCAGAACAATGCAACAGATAAATAAACACTTTCATTTATTTGCAGGTAAATGATAAAATATGTAATAAAATCAGCATAATTTGTTTAGTTCACTTTAAAAAAAAGAAAAACATAGATATCTTTAGTCCTCGTTATTGCAAAAACTTGACGAGACAACTTGAAAATGAGTAATAGATCTTAATGTCATTATCAGCAGTTCTATTTGTTATAGTCTGCATTATGTATAAGGTAAATATATTTCACATCGACGATTTGGTTCAATAACTTTTTCTTATCGCTTAATAACCAATATTAACGTTTAGTGCGAAAGCTAATATCCTAAGGGTATTTCAATATCATTATTTAGACATTAAAGTTTCTTCCAAGAAGAAAATGAAAAGAAAATCGAATACACATCCAGATATTGAAACTCCAAGACACTAATGATTGGCAAAGTGTAAAAGTATAAATAGCAATTTATAACTTTTAGTAGTTTCTTATATGCATATATTTATGTGTGTTGTTCAAATAGCAACTGTTACTTGGAAAATAATATATCTCCTCTGAGCAGGGTATGTAAAAAAACCAAATTTTTGAAAAACCCGAAAAAAAAACTGGTTAAAAAATCCGGTTTTTACCGTGGGTTTTTTCGAAATTCGGGTTTTTCATTACACCATTAATTAGCTATTAGCTTTCGGGTTTTTTCAAATTTTGGGTTTTTTACATACCCTGCCTATGAGTAGCTCAAGGTTGCAGAACACTAAAATGACAGTAATACCATATTTTTCAACAAAATAGTGTTTCATTTATATATTTCTATACAAGTTAGATAAATTCAAAAAACAATATGGAGTTTTTATGGCTTGTAAATGAGTTTAGAACCAATCACCCCCCGATAATCAACCCCGTGTCATTTTCCCTGGGGGGTAAAGCCCAGGGGTGATTGTCGAAAGGTGTTAGTCCGGGGGTAATGTCTGGGGGGTGGTAGTCCTGTTACGGTTGTAAATATATTGACGTGATTTCTCAAACTTAGTTCTTATATTAAACGAATTGAAATTGACATGAAAATGTACAAAATTAATCGGATGCAATTCTATCGAACCATATAGGCAAAAAAAAAAAAAAAAAAAATTAAGAGATTAAAAAAAAAATGTATCTTTCTAATCTATGATATCGTCAAGCCCCTCATATCTACTATATATATATGTATTGAGTCACTCAGAAGTCACAGCAAAACATTTGACGACATGTAGTATATCATTTTAAAATCAATTAATGCTGCTGTTTTTACTCTTGAATTTCAGAAAATAATTATTTCTATAAGAGCTCTTTGCAATCCCAAAATGATACATGTCTCAGGGACTGCCATAATATAAATAGAACACTTCACTTTAAGAATCAATACACTTTTACATATGTTACATGGATGTTTCAATATGTCCGGCTTTCAAGGATACTAGGTGGTTCGATCATGAGCTGTGGACGGAAATGTTTTTTGTAATAACACATCATTAATGTTGGAGTGTCCATATTCAATTAATCAATATATTTTACTGTCAAAAGACAATGCATTCAATTTCATGAGTATATTTAACGTGTCCTCAGAGATGAAAGTGGTTTATGTTCCTCTTACAAAAATGTTATATTTTCAGAAAGGGGAATTGAGAGACTCTTGGCCGTATGAAAATTAAGCCAATGCTGAAGAGGATCTAGAATCGGGTAGATCGGTCACTCAATCCTTCTGAAGAGTTGTAAGGATCGACCTAGTCATCCAGGGAGTGACCGAGGAGTCTATCAGTCACATGAAAATAAACATTGCCCATGGAAATGAGAGTAGAAAAAAGGAGAAATGACGTCATATCAAGGCACTTATTTTTGTGAAACCAAACATGGGTAACGTCATCAGTGGAATTCATAGCAAGATGTCCATTTTTTAAATTCTCCGTACGACATTGTTTCAACAAGTAGCTGCCATTTTAGGTCGCTTCCGTCATTAATGAACTCTTGAAGTCGATAAATTTTTCTTCTCCGTTGAGCATCCAGTTATTGAGTTGGTCGGTGGATAAATACACAAGGATACACATTTCCCCCTAAAAAAGTATATATCTCTTCCGTATATCAAGGTCCTTTTTAACCTGGAAACGTTAGGAATGCACGTACTCCTTCAAAAAAATATCATTCATTTCCAGAGCACTCTTAAGTCTCCTGCGGTGACTTTGTCTACCCATAAAACGATTATTTCTTTATACAACACATCACTTTTAGGACTACACCATAGCTCATTTATATACGCTTAATCAAGATAGTACTTTTTTTGCCTCCCTACTTTTAAAAAGCATCAATTCCTCACAAATGTATACCTAATGGACATTTTCTGCATTCGCTATTATTATTATTATTGCTGTTGTCTGTCTGGTTCGAGTAATGATAAAAGTAGATATAAATATATATTTGAAAAGACATTATTTGCATCTCTTCACTTTTTACATACTGGTATATACCGAGTGCGGGACAGAAATTGCAACACATACCTAGTATATTGTTTACACCCCTCTGTGTCTTTTAAAAGGATTCGATCAGAAAATATGAAAAATATAAAGCGTTAATATAACTCTTATTTCAATTTTTTATTATATATATCCGCCCTTAACAGCAACAACAGCCTCCAGACGGGACCTGAAGGCCTGACAGACAGACTGTATGTAATGAGCGTCCATTCCATCCCAGTGTTCATCAACGGAGGCATTCATGGCTTCAATATTGGGGTGACGTATTCTGCAGGCCCTGGCCTGCACATGCGGCCAAAAAGAAAAGTCCAAAGGGTTTACATCAGGGCTCTATGGAGGCTACTTTTCCTTACCCCAAAATGGGGTGCTCTCTGACAAAAAATTCTGGGTGGATTTTGCTGTATGGGCTGGTGCTCCATCCTCTTGGAGCACCACTTCTTGGTTTGGAAATGTTGCCTGAACCCAGGGCAAAAATTTGGTGCGCAGCTCTTCAATGTACGTGGCTGCATTCAAGCGAAACCCTCGGGGAAACCAAATCAATGGCATTGAAGCCACAAAGACCAGAGACATGGCTGAGGCTGGATGTTTGATAGTGTTAATTGTTTTAAGGTTTTCATCAACATCTTCAAAGGCTACACACCGGTCATTTATTTTATTTCTGAGCGGATCCACAGTCCAGTTCTTTTCATCACTGAAGATGATGATCCTTCCAGCTGGTGCAGATTTCAGGTCATTGATCAGACCCTTGCAACGTTGGAGATGAGTCACTTTGATTTGAGGTGTCAATAATGGTCTCTCCAACATCACTAGGGACTTGCCACCACACTCTTGACCCTACTCTCACCAACACCAAGGTCCTCGGCATGAGCTCTCATGCTGGTGGTTGGAGCCCTTTGGATCACATCACAAAGGAATTGTGGTTCCAATTTGTATTTGCCAGCACTCCCAGATTTCTTTCAACCCCTTGGTTAATGTACAGCTTCTTCTTGAGGCGGTAAATGGTCGATCTTGCCACGTTCAGTTGCTTGGCAATCTCAGTTGGAGTCTTACCCGCGCCAAAAAACGTCGACACTTTAACTCTACGGTCTCGTTCCATCTCTCTGCGTATTCTCAGAGGAAAATGATATTAACATAAAAGCATAAACATAAAAACTTCTACCAAAGTTATTTAGCGGAACATTTTGTTCGACACCTTTCGTAATCTCAAATCGAATTTTTGTAAGTATTGCAATTTCTGTCCCGCACCCGGTATGTCAGATTGTAACCTTTTCATTAGAAAAATGATTAATGACTTAATGCACTTTCGACCAATTCATTTCTTGCAGGTTCCGGAACATATTAGGTTCGGAAATAGATTATATGTGCATGAATTGCATTTATACATTATCATAATGAAAAATATTAAAAGAAAAGAACAAATAACGATCAGAAACGAGACACTTTTTTTCGAAGGTGATTGGTTTAGAGAGAAGGAGAGGCAATAATGAAATTTTTATTATTATTGCTGTTGTCTGTCTGGTTCGAGTAATTATATAAGTAGATATAATATACTTGAAAAGACATTATTTGCATCATATTTGCAAATTATGATTGTTCCACTTGTATAATCATATCTGACGATAAGTGAATTCTATCCCTGATAGTAAAACTTAAAAAATATACATAAATTGAGTATGTCTATTTATTATATTGTTACTTCTCTATTAAATATATAGTCAAAAATGGAGTTGTCGACTTGAAAATAGTGTTTACTTTTTGTGAGAACTACCAATTTAACGTCCTTCATTGTACAACAATTCTAATTAAAATGGTGTTTCACGGTTCAAGATCAAGAGGGATACATTTTTTTTCTATGATGAGCGGAACAACATATCCATAGGGATAAAAAAGATTATCAATATTATAAACTCACCAATAAACATGAGTTTTTCATTTGATAACAATTTTTCTTTACTTTTCGGTGTCCGATATTTAGATCAATGATCCATTTATCGTCATATATTAAAAAAATGTGCTTAATTCCTGGAGAATGAAGAGTTGCTTTATTCAATTAATAGCTATAGTTGGAGTCATAAATATATAAAGATATAGAGAGCTTATTCCCTTCAATAGCAGAGAAACATCATTCAGCTGTATTCTGGACACAATGACGTATTTCTCTGAAGAATCCATAGTGATATAAAGATATAAAGAGCTTATTCCCTCCAATAGCAGAGAACCATCGTTCAGCTGTATTCTAGACACAATGACGTATTTTTTGACGAGTCCAATAAGCTCTCTATATCTTTATATCTCTATGGTTGGAGTCCATTCAAAGGATTCGCCAATGACGTCATGGATCCAGACCACTGAAGAAGAGACAATTAGTATGTATTTTACAGGATGAAACCCTTCTGGCAAAGTAATTGATGTTCACTCCT